TGACATTTGCAGGGGCCCAGGGTCACGTGATCTCCTTTTGTGACCTTCTGACAAGCAAAGTCAATGGGGAAGCCAGATTCACGTAACAACCGTGTGATTAATTTAACAACTGCAGTGATTCACTTAACAGTGTCAAGAAAGGTCATAAAATTGAACAAAACTCACTTAACAAATGTCTCAGTTAGCAACATAAATTTTGGGCTCAATTGTGGTTGTAAGTCAAGGACAACCTGTAGCTGGATCTCTGGATCATGGTTCAAGATTCCTCAAGTCTTTTATTCAAGTTAATGGCACCTCCATATACTACACTTGGGATTGCAGTGTAAGATAATATGTAATATCAATAAATCAAAGTAAGCATCTTTGTAAATATATTTCTAAAGTAGCCTCATACCAACACTTGCCCAAATATGTAAAATATATGAGGACATTTACCTATTTTACAATAACATAACATCACAGCATGGAGTTACTTTAATGTAACTGGATAAATAAAGAGCTGAAATATAAAAATTTATAATACTTAAAACATACTAAAAATTGATTTAAGTCAGACATAGAATATGCTTTATTCCAGGTTGTTTTAAATAAAAAATGAGGTTATATTTTATTATATTCCTGTTCATTTAAACACTTTTTACCTGTTATGCAACCAAAAAGCAATCCTTTGTTTGAAAAGGCTGATTAAGGATCACTACTGCTCACTTCAGGCTGCAATTCTAGGAAATAATGTTAATTCTGATTTCTAGGAAAGACTACTGTTGCTATATGAGCTGCTGACACCAGTTTCTGCCCCCTTCCCTTGAAATCAGACTAGGTCCAGTTGCGGAAAATTAAATAATATGTATATTGAAAAAGAGGCAATTATATGAAATAATGAAAATGAAAAATTTCCGCAGATCAATTTCTGGATGTTTTTCCAAAACCTAGTGGCACGTGAATGCTGTTTATTAGAAATGTTCCAATGCAAAAAATAAAATAAAATAAAGTTCCCTGTAAACTGATACATAGATTATTCTAAAAGGGTACAAATCATAATGAAAGAAAATCTGCTGAATAACAAATTGAATTAAAAGTAGATCATTATATGATAATATTCTTACCCAAATAAAAATTATCATGGAATATTCTATTTATTGATGCAATTAATACGTAAATATGACCATTGGGCCATTGAGTCAAATCTCCTTCTTAGTTTATGGTATAAAGAAAAGCATCTCTCTCATAGGACCTCTTGGACCCACAACTCCTGCTCGAAAAGTAAGTGGCAGTTGTGGCTAGGAAGGCCTTTGTGCAACTTCACATTGTGCACCAGTTGCGCCCTTACCTGGATCCTGAGACACAATGCATGATCACTCATGTCCCAGTCATCTCTTGGCTGCAATACAGTGTACATGAGGCTACCCTTGAAGACTTTTCAGAAGCTGCAGGGAGCTCCTAGGACTGTACCTATAACAATGTTACTATGAAAGCTGCATTGCCCACCAGTTTGCTTCTGGATCCAATTCAAGGTGTTGATTGTTACCTTTAAAGCCCTACATGGCATGGATCCAAGGTATCTGAGACGCCATCTATCCACAATGGGACAAGTCTGCTGCAGATCTCATTTGCTAAGAAATTTGAAGCAGGCGGGGTCAAGGAGAAGAGCCTTTTCCACTGTGGAACATTCTATTACCAAAGGTGAGAGCTGCCCTCTCCCTTTTGGCTTTCCAGAAGGGTATTAAAACCTGGCTTTGCTGGTGGATCTGAGGCCCTGTAAGGACCTACCTCAGCAAAGCCACCCAAGAAAGCAGAACTCTTGAAACAGGCATTGTCTCAAAAAGAAATTTTATTAGGGGGCAAGTGATAGCAGGGAAAAGAAGGTGAGGTCTGAGGAAAACCTGCAAAAGCAGTATATTAAAAGCAATATTCAATACTCCTCTCCCCAGAGCCCCAGTGTTCATTTGAATTCCAGCCAATCCACAGGTGGCATTGTGTTTTGGTAACTGGGTTCTTTGGCCCGTTCTTTCAAGGTCTCTCTCGCTTTCGTTTCCTTCTGGCTCCAAGTGCAACCATCTCTCAGATAAGGGTGATACATTCCATCCCATGGGGGAAGGGCACAATAACAGGACAGTGCAAAGCCATCCCCAAATGTCCCCCCTCTCAACAGAATGGCAGGCCTCAAAGAAAAGTTATGGATTCAAGAATAGGCAAAGGGAAACAATGTATTTCTTTGGGGACACTATAGTTTTGGATTTAGTACAGTTTTTAATATTTTAATCTGTGTAGTTTTTAATTTTTAATGCTTTAATTATTTTTTACTTGTTTTATAACTTGTAAGCTGCCCAGAGTCACCTTGTAGGGCAGACGGGCAGCATAAAAATTTAATAAACAAACAAACAAAATCTCAGACAGGTTGCTCTGCTGTCTAGCCTGAAGGAAAATCCAACACTTCTCTAGATAACAATTCCACTGCCAACCTTTAGTTTATTTTAATGTTGTATCATACTGTTATTCTAACAATTTTCCTATTGCTGTTTTTAATTTATTAATGAAACCAGAGGACAATGAGACGAATATCCCATTTAAAGCCCTATATCGTAAATAGGCAATGGCTTATTCAGGTGCAAATAGGCACTCCTTCATAGATTGTTACTTTGTGGTTATGCCATCAGGTACTCTGTTAGCAAAGTACATTTCCAGCAGGGCCACCCATCCTAGCAGATAGTAGAGAAGGAACCAGAGTAAATAGGATCCACTAAATAAAGAAATGAAAACCCACTTCAGTATTCTGCCAAGAAAAGCGAATGGACACCCATGATAGTAGAAGATACGCTCCCAAGATCAGAAGGTGTTGAGTGAACTACTCTGGCCAGAGGCAAAAAGAAAGTTCATTGTTGACAAAATAAACATACCATTGGTACAAGGGATATCAGAATCATGAACCAAGATAAACCTAATGCTGTCAGAACAGAAGTAGTGAACTGAAATAGAGGAAATGGTTGCTTCACGTTGGAGAAGCATCAGATATATTATGGACAAGAACATTATAGAAGAAATGGAAGAGCCATCATTGTTAATAAAAAAATAAACTTGGTACTTGGATACAACTAAAAATGATAGAAAATTCAAGCTCAGGTGAAGCCAGTCTACAAATTGGTTTATGCTTGAATCTCAGATGAAGGAGAAGTGGAAGTTGAACAGTTTCATGGAAAATTGTGGCACTGTATCAACACAAAAACAAAGAAAGACATGTCAATTATAGGAGATTGGAATGCCAAGTATGGTAATAAAATAGCATCTACAATAATCGAAAATTTTGGATTTGGTTTATGTGTTGAACCAGGAGACAAACTAATACACTTCTGTAAAAAAATTCAAATTTTTACAATAAATAACAATCTAAAAGAATTTTAGACTTTATGAGATGGACCACACCAAATTAAACAGACTACTGTATATACTGTGTAGCCAAAATGGATTTGAACTTCAGTTAGCACTTATCCAGCATTTGCTGACTGAGTAAACTAACTGCTCAGTCAGCAAATGCTGGATAGGTGCTAAATGAAGTTCAAATCATAAAACCATGTTTTCAAAATGAAAGAAACAAAATCATTTACAAAAGTTAAAGCAAAATAACAGTACCAGATAACAATCTCAGTAACACTCTATATGATTATATAGTGAAGGCAAAGTACCAGTTTAACCGATTTGATCAATATAGCAACTGAAGATAAATGAAAAGAAATAGATTATAGGTTATTGCTGTTTCCAATTTAAAAAGTTACAATGGAGATGGATGTAAGCACGATACTAAGATCATATATGATAATTTTGATCCAAAAGCTCTGTGATTCCCTAAATTTTAGGGGGGGCAGGGGGGATATTTGTAGTTTGAGGATATATCGTGAGCACTCTCACAAAATAGTTGCTGTATAGATGTGGCCACATAAAGACCTAGATCCAGAAGGCATCTAAACCATTGGACTGGAAGTTCCAATAATTTATTTTCTAAGTATGCCTCTGAAATTTATCTGGAGGTGAGAAGTATTGTTGGAAATACAGGTTATGCCTAAGACAGGCCTTTGCAACATGCTAGCTGTATGTTCTTTTTAAAATTAAAATGCTTTAAGAGTTCAGTAAGCTTGGAAGCTTGGAGGATGGCAGGAATATATGAAAAGTTACATTATTGACCTTGATATCTTGCTTGAGTCTTAAGTCATATCATTTATAGAAAAGAGATATGCAGTCATTTGTACAACAATTTTGGGGAGGAAAATAGAATATAAGATTGGAAGGTGATCATCCAGTCTATATGAAGAGCCGGAGTGGTGCAATGGTTAGAATGCAGTATTGCAGACTAATTCTGCTAACTGCCAGAGGTTCGGTGCTCACCAGCGCAAGGTTGATTCAGCCTTCCATCCTTCTGTGGTCGGTAAAATGACGACCCAGATTGTTGGGGGCCATATGCTGACTCTGTAAACCACTTAGAGAGGGCTGTAAAGCACTGTGAAGCAATATATAAGTCTAAGTGCTATTGTTATATGCAATTAAAGTTGCAAATCCTATAGTCAGGCTGAGTGGTCACTGGAAAAAAAGGATTTGAAATAGTGTGGTAGGTGGTACCAGAAACCTATTTTATACAGTAGCTATCAATCCATACATCATTTAGTAACTATCTCTGAGTTTTCAGTATATTACTGAAAATTACTTATAAGAAAATTTTATCTCTGAAATGAATTGAATATATTTCTGAATTAATCTGTATAGATATTGCATTTTGAAGAGAGTAATGGAGTCTTTCCACTATTTGTTTCACCTGCTTTAAAAAGACCGATTCTTTGAAGAATCCCCAATGCAGTTCAATTTGAGATGAATTTAGCAATCCAATTAGTGTAGAATCTCTGTATTAATCTGTTAATTAATGGGATCGTATATTCCTATGGAACATTTAAAAAGTGTCCTTATCTGCAGTACTAATTAGAAGTGTAATTTAATGCCTTTAACTGATTTATCAACAGCTCAAGTTGTTTGTAATTTAGGATTTGGGAACATCTCACCACGTACAGAAGGTGGAAAAATATTCTGTATCATCTATGCCTTACTGGGAATCCCTCTCTTTGGTTTTCTGTTGGCTGGAGTTGGAGATCAACTAGGGACCATATTTGGGAAAGGGATTGCCAAAGTAGAAGACACATTTGTTGTGAGTATGCTACATACATTGTTCTGAAATATGATTTAGTTCTGTAATTTTGAAAATATTTTATTACAGATATTTGATTTTGGTCATGTATTCGTGGTTAAAAGTCTAGCATAAAGTAAACTGTGTATATTGTATTATTTTTAATTTTAAAATAAATTCAGTGTTGCATGCAAACACATGTCCTCTTTCTTATTCATCTTTGTCCTTGTCCACTTTAATACTAAAAACATTGATGGAAAAAGAAAAGAAGCATTTAATTGTTCACTAACAGCCTTTCACCTTTAGATGCCCTCTTATTTAGCATCAGGAGTTGTGTGTCCATGTGTCCAAATAGACATTTAAGCCTACATGGCTTATATGTGCATGTCTGTAGAAATGATAATAGTCGGGGTAGAAGGATGTGATTTAGATCAAAAGAAAAAAACAGAGGGCTAATATTTTCACCGGTCTTGAATTTAACAGAGCTTCCCAACTGCTCTTCAAACCAAGCAAATAAATTGAGGCCCCTAAATTATATTCATTTGTCTAAACATCTGGTTTGACCTAAGACATCCCAGTTTGGTTAGCTCTTGAGACATTCAGAGAATAACCTGGCTCTAGGCTAGATGGAAAAATCTGAAAACATCTTGAAAAAGCAATTGGAAAATATTTCTATATTGTGCCAAGAGCATAGTAAATATATGGCTGACATCCAGGAGTCTATATTCCAGGAGGCAAGCCACACTGAAAGCGAGCTTGGCAACTGACATGCATTTATGATGGTTGCAGTATCCCGGGGTTACGTGATCACTTTTTGCGACCTTCTGACAAGCAAAGTCAATGAGGAACCCAAATTCACTTAACAACCATGTTACTAACTTAAAAACTGCAATTATTCACTTAACAACTGTGGCAACTTGGGCAAAACTCATTTAAAAGCTGTCTTGCTTAGCAATGGAAATTTTGGGCTCAATTGTGGTTATAAGTCGAGAACTACCTGTACAGTTTCCACGTTCTCTTCAGGCAAAATACAAATCACTGATAGTTACTGAGCTTCCACATGACTTACGTCCATTTGAGAGATACAGAGATTTTCCTAGAACAAACATATGATGATAGAGATCATGTACACCAGTTGGTTGTATGAGCTGTGGTGGCATAGCAGTTAGAAAGTAATATTGCAGATTAACTCTGCCCATTGCCAGGAGTTCAATCCTGACCGACTCAAGGTTGACTCAGCCTTTCGTTCTTCTGAGGTTGGTAAAATGAGGATCCAGATCAATAAGGAATATGCAATATAAGCAATATGCAAATAATGCTTATATTGTAAACTGCTCAGAGAGTACTGTAAAGCATTATGGAGTGGTGTATAAGTGCTATTGCTGTTGTTATTGGTCCTACTCCAATTATAATACTATTAAGAGATCCTAAAGAGTATGTCTATGAAGATAGCTTAAATCTATGAGACAGAATTTTGTGCTGTGGGCACAATGTGATTCTCTTAATCAGGTAGAGAGTTGATGGGATTTCCCTCAAAATATCTTTTGGTAAATGTTTGCTGTATTTGAGAGAGTGTCCTGTTTTTGTAATTTTACAGGTACACTCTTTTCCAGGTCTTCTCATAGAAGCAGAAACCCTTTCAGCTTTTTGACCTGTATTTAATATCCTGTTTCAAATGTATGACATCTTCCTAAATAAACTATCAACAGTTCAATAAAACAAGTAATGGGTAGAAGCTTACTAGAGATGCAACCTAGAAATAAGGAGAATTTTTCTGACTGGGAGAACAATTAATTAATGGAATAACTTGCCTCCTGGAGTTGTGGATGCTCCAGCATGGGAGATTTTCAAAAACAGACTGGACAGCGATTTGACTGAGATGGTGTAAGGTCTCTTGCTCTGAGTAGGAGGTTGGACTAAACAACCTCTGAGGTCCCTTCCAGCCCTGTGATTCTAAGTTCTATGTTACAATGAAGAACATTCTGTGACTGATATTCAGCACAACAATTATCAGTGGAAATAAATTACTTGAATACAAAATGTATTGAAATCAGATTAGAGCATTTTATGTAACCAATCCAATTCTTGCCATCATGAAAAAAGTATGAACATTTTGTATGACATACAATTTTGTATTTTTGTTATCAGAACATTTTCTTCTTAAGAAAATTTTATACTTTTTATTGGGAGAATCCTTCCATTCTTGGATAACTGCATATAAAATTTGGTAATTAAAACTGTGGTAGGTTAGCTTCATGCTGTGAATAGCTTTTCTTACCTATTGCAGGTGGAACTATTGAAGAAAGGTAGATTATTCTTGGTATAAATGATTTGTAGTGAAATGCATTCAAATAAATATTCATTTAAATATTATTTACATCACCTATCCACTGTTTTTTTTCTTTCCCTTTTCGGCGTATTTGCAGAAGTTTGTTGACATGATGAATCTTGAAGTTTCTATACATGATAGAGAATGAGAATAAATTTGAAATTTAGCTTCCCTCTGCTCCTATTTATTCACTGCACATGGTTATAATTTTATGGACAGTTACTTGGCACTGAATCCCATTGATAGCAATTACATTCTCCTGTATAATTATCCATGGGAGCAGACAAAGTTCATGATCAATGCTTGTATGAAGATTTACCCATCTATTTTGTTTTCACCATAAACAATTCCATGTATGCTTGGTGAGTTTGATAATAATAAAATATTCCTATAGAGCCACTGCATATCTGCTATAAATACTTTACAGAGAAATGTTGAAAAACATTTTCACATTTTTTTAACTTGTGATTTTGCAATGGCTTTAATCTGTTCTGTCACCCTTTGATCATACTATCAGAACTGTTTAGCCGTCTATTTTGATTTAAAACATTTGCAGATGGTGTCACCCAGGTTTTAGTAAAAATATTACCCATTTTATAAATGCATACCTATATATACATACATGAAATAATACTACTTTACTAATAATGGATTCCTCCCCTCCTTTCTCTTTCTTTTTCCATCCCCTTGTTTATTCTTTCTTCTTACCACAGAAATGGAATGTGAGTCAGACAAAGATCCGCATAATATCAACAATAATATTCATACTGTTTGGCTGCGTTCTATTTGTTGCTCTTCCGGCAGTCATTTTCAAGCACATAGAAGGCTGGAATACATTAGATGCAATTTATTTTGTAGTTATCACCTTAACAACAATTGGATTTGGTGATTACGTTGCAGGTAATATTTTACCAAGTTCTGTATGGAAAAATAAACCATATACCTTTATTATGTACATAAATGCCTTCTCAGTGTATATTGTTGCATGGGACACTTCCACTAAGCCCGATATTGATCTAGCAGTATTTTTTTCCAATGTACCAGACTGGTGTTTTCTCTAGGTCTCACAGTTAAAATTGAAGTAGAGACCTTTTGAGTGCAACATACTTGCTACATTCAAAGATCTACTTATGCCCCAAATCTTAAAGTTGCTTCAAATTTACCAAACATTTTCCATGAGAAAGAGTACCATTCAATTAAAGAATTAACTTTAAAGCAGTAAAATAAGGTACCATCAAATTTTTAGGTGTTATTGTATATGAGATTGCCTGAATGATGGATGATACAGATCAATATCCAAGCTTTAAAAATGGACAATATCTTGAAAAGTCCCTAAATCTTATGAGTTTTCATTGCTCTCATTCCCGAGATCTCTTAGGAGACATTGACATTCTGAAATTTCACAAAATATCATGAAATAATATGAAAATTTCACAATAGTTTTCTCATTCAATATGCAGCTGTTATCTGGGAATTTCATGTTTGTGGGCACTCTTTTGCAGCCCCTGTCTGGAAACTAAGATAAATGAAAATTCTGTTAAATATTCAAGTTAGAAAAAATTAGGATCTCTATATAATTTGTGGTTTATAAGAGGGTATCACATTTGCATGGTAATGTAACAATCTTGTAAATAACACTGTGCATAGATAGATCCATACTATGCATAGATGAATGGATCTATCTACATTGCTTTTTCAGTTTTCCTACCTGTCTGTGTTCAATTGACAATTCTTACTTCCAGCAATTCTCTTATTTATGCAGATTTATTTTCATGCTGTTACTACATATTATACAAGATGACACATAATCAATCAATTTGCATAAGAGAATGTTGTTGCCATATGAGCTGCTTATAGAAGGCAGAGAAAGAATATAAGCTTGAGAATTGGGCTCATACTCATGCCTTGTTGTTAATATATATGGGATAGATCATAAAAGCCAGTACTTGTATGTCTGGATATGGTGTGCTGTTATATTTTATATTTATATTTGAATATAAAACATATTTAGTTTGTAAGATGAAATGGCCTCCGTAACATATTTTTTTCTAGTCTGAATGTTACTTTTTCCTATGTATAAAGGTGTCAGATATACACTGGGTTTTATACCTATTTTGAAAATGTCAGTGACTCTCATGCATTAATATGATTATAGGAAAATGGACCTAGTACCACATGCTTTAAAACTGATGTCTTTTTCAGAGTAAGAACATTATTTTTGTCTTGTTTTTATACATTTTCTGGTTATGTTTATAGTAAAAACATTATGTACCAAAGGCCACTTAACTGAAACTGGAGCACCAAGTACATTAGTAGTCTCTACCGTTATACATTAATATAATAATTTGTCCCTGCAGCTCTCACTGTTTTTATAGTTTTCATTAATTTAAAGAAAATCACAGTGATTAGTATAGCGTCTGTGCATCTGTGCAATTAATTGTTTTTTCTTCTTTTCGATGTACCTTGCCATCTTTTGAAATAGAAGGATGGATGGATGGATGGATGGATGGATGGATGGGAGGGAGGAAAGGAGAAAAGGAGGAAGGATTCAAGAAGAACCAGTTGCCAAGTAGAGAAGGAAATAGGACAACCCAAATGGCAGAAGGTGGGATTTGGAGCTCAACGTGCTTAGAGATGGTTTCTCACAGCAAGGGAGGTTGCTCCGTCTGTTGCTCATGTCTCCGGGCAGGGCAAACACCCTGTCATATGCTTAATTTCTAAGATATTGACAGGAGTCTTTGCTGTTGTCCCTTCACCCTTCTAAATCAATTGACAGTTGCTTCCTGTTGCTCATCCAGGCTAAGGGAAGAAATGCTTTACCTTAGAAAAGATTAGTTATCATGAACTAGACAGAACTACCTAGACAACACCACTGAAATCAAAATAATAACTTCCAATACTGTATTTCAAATTCCTAAGTGTTTTAAAAAGAGAGTGGGAGAAAATAGAAAACGTTTAAGCTTCAGTCTTCTGTATAATTAAAAACAACTGCAAAATTTTAGGTACATTAGAATGAGAAATCTCAGATTTACTATACTGTAATTTTTAATGTATGAGAGGGAAAAATAAATTATAACTTGAATTGCTGGTGCATGTCTTTTCATGGAAGAAAGAAACCTAAAATAATTTTGTTCCAGGCCAATTCAAAGAAGGGATGGTTTTATTCGCTTTACCAAAAAGACTTGCAAACACATGCACTCCCAGTTCAGAGACAGATTTCACCCCCCAAGTTCATCAAGTTTGACTTACAATAGTTCCAAATCAAAGCAGCATGCAGAAGAACAGTCGGGTGGAGTCTATGGGTTTGAGCTTGTTGCAGATTCATCAGCCAGTCTAGGTTTAAAATCAGAGTTAGGCCCACAGATTACTATCCTTTTCTTATCCTTCACATTGGGACGAATAACACAACAAAGAACTTGAGTACAATATTGAGAAATTATAAGCAACTAGGCAATAAAGTTAAGGAGCTATGAGCACAAATAGTGTTCTCATTGGTACTCCCAATGAAAGGCCAATCCCTATTGAGGGAAAAAAAAATCTAGAAATAAACCACTGACTAAAGGTTTGGTGTCACCAAGAAAACTTTGGTTTCCTGGATCAAGTCAAGGTATACAAAGTGGGAGTTAACAAGAAGTTGCCTTTTGCTCCATATTAATAGAAGCAGCTCTGCCGTAACTCATTTAGTAGGACAAGACTTTTTCCATGTGAGCAGATTTACTGTGTTATGACACTTTTTTAAAGGAAGTCCTCACTAAATCAAGGTAATTGGGACAAGAATTTCTATACTAAGCTATGTGGTCACAAAGCATGATGTCACATTGCTTAGCTATGGCCATCATGGCAATCCCTGTTGCTCTTGTTAAACGAGAATTGGGATCATTAAGTGAGGACCTCCTCACAACTTCCTTCCCACAACCAAAGTCGTTGGGGAAGCTGGCAAATCCTAGGCAGCTCACAATCAGGCAGGCTGGTAAATAGCATGCACAAATGATTTTGGGTCCAGGTGTGGCTGCTGGCAGGTGGGGAAGGGAGTGCACTTGTACTGGTAAATGGAAATGTTTTTGGGTTGGTAAGCTGCTACTAGGTGAGAGAGACTTACCTGAGTGACTTGTAACCTTCTCTTCAACAGGCCAGCTACACACACACACACACACACACACATACAGAGAGAGAGAGAGAGAGAGAGAGAGAGAGAGAGAGAGAGAGAGAGAGGGAGCAAGCAACCATTAATTTGGTCCAATTTCTAATTTAAATTACAATCCAAGTTAACCAAGGCCATGTTCAACCCATAAATTTGTAGCTGTGTTTTATTTTAATTAATTTAGCAAAACATGAACCATTTTGAAATATTATTCTGCAAATAATGGAAATGAAAGTATCAAATACAATTATACAAATTGGAGCTTCTGTAGGACATAGACTTTGGATGAAAAATGAGTTATGTATGAGTACAATCAGGTTCAAACATTTGTAAAGTAGAGACATTTACATTAAAAAAAATATGATCAAAGTTTTAAATTGTTCCTTGCAAATCAATTACATTACTTATTTGGGATGTTAACAGTATTTCTATTTCTATTTTGTTTGTCAGTTTTTAATTTAAGGCAAATAAAAAGAATTTGGATAACTTTCAACAATGATTTCATCTACTATTAGATGTTTTGAAAAAAAATATATTAAATATCTGAAAGACCTTTGAGGATCATTTGGAGAATCCTTATAGAAATAAGTGTTAGAACAGTGTTTCTCAACCTTGACAATTTTAAGGCATATGGACTTCAACTCCCAGAATTCCACAGCCAGCAATGCTGGCTGTGGAATTCTGGGAGTTGAAGTCCACATGCCTTAAAATTGTCAAGGTTGAGAAACACTGTGTTAGAAGAATTTATACATTGTTGTATAAACCTAAGGGTTTATCTGTAAAGGGCAAAGGGAATTGCCTTGAAGGACAGGAGGAACAGCCACTACCAAGACAGAAGGTCAGATAAGCAGGACCTGAGCCTGAGGAAGGAAAATACCTTGTGAAAATGTCTCAGACGAGAGACTCTCCAGGGTTCACAGAAAGACAAAGCGAGAGAGAGAGGGGGGGGGGAATCGCATTCTGACTTGCGAGAGTCTGTTATTGTATCTGTTACACTAAATGTAGTCCTTACCTACTTATATGGCATTGGTTTCTTAGTCTGGCCTAGCGTATTGGGCTTGATATTACCTATATTTGCTATAAAAGTATAATATACTTGGAGTGTTTATAAGAACTGTCCAATTTGCACTTCCCAAACTGGAGTATACTTTCCCATATATTGCAAGGTAGCATGAAAATGTATATCATTTTACTATGTTTATAGTAAAAAAAATTACATTCAATGCATGGATAAAGGGAGAAAGTGTCAGGCTGGCCCCAACTAGGTCCTTAGAAAAGGAAGTCCCTCGGCTCCATTTCATTGAAGTGATAGGCTCTTTTACTAAGGATTAGTGGTTTCAGCAGAAGCAGGCTAGAACTAATGTTCCCTCGCAAAGAGTTACAGATTTTCCCCTTCTCCTCAGCTCTCCTCCCTTGACCAGTTTGTCTTCATCCAATGGTGTGCCATATGGGTGTTGTGGGAACCGCTCGGATGGTGCAGTTCACATTCCTTTGCCAGGCTCCATGGCCTGGAAGACTGGAACAAGCTGGTTCTCACACCTCTGCTTTCTGTCAACCCTGTCACCCCTTCCCCTCTGGCTCATCTCTACCCTCTACCTCCCAATTGCTTACTTCCACTTCCCCCCAGCCCCCTAACAATTTATGACAAATGACAGAAAGTACAAGAAAATAGGAATCAGAATAAACTCAAATAAAAAGTTTTATCTACAGTATCTCTATCATATCTTTCTGATTTTCAGTCTCTGATTGTTCCCTAGATAAACAGAAGTGTGAAGTGGAAATCAGTGTTTAGTTTAACTGATCTTTGAATCTGGTGCCTTTGCTGGAAAATAGTACAATCACCTCTAAAACATAGGATCAGGTTGCCAAGCAGGTTTTGGCTACTGTTGATAGCAGACTAAGCGTTTTGTTTGCATTTCCAAGATTTTATTTAAAAGTCTGATGCATTCTGTTTATAATGCTTTGCCTTATTTATTTATTTGTTGCAGCATTTATGCCCTGCCAGATTTAAATACATCCAAAATTAGTGTCAGTAGACTGCTTCTTAGGTTTAATATGTTGGTGCTGATGATAGGATTGCACACTGGCTGAGAACTGGAGCAGTGGCCTGGAATATTAAGTGGAAGATTTTATCAATTTCACTAATTCACTGGAATGAATGAAATTGCTTAACTTCTAATTGAAAGTACTATTAAACATGCATGAGAGCTTTTACCTCATCTTGCCATGAAATGCCAAAAATACAGGGAACCCTCATCTTATGTCCTTAGTGGAACCTGTCCATTATGGTTGTCAGTCGTGATGATTGCAAAGTGGATCATCATATGACAGATTCAATCTTATGATCTTTTTCTGCTGTGGTCATTAAGAAAACCTATTAGCAAAAATGCTAGCAGGCATTTTTGTTGCAAACTGGAAGTTAACTGGGTTTTGGCAAAAACAATCACAGTCATGCTACAAATGGCTGTAAATAAGAGCTGGTTGCTGAGCATCTGAAATGCAATCATATGACTCAGTGTCTCTCTCTCTCTCTGTGTGTGTGTGTGTGTGAGTGTCCATAAGAACTTTGGACCTAGGTTCTGAGTGGTCCATCTTAACTTTGAACAGTCACAAAGCAACCAGTCATAATTTGAGGAGTACCTGTATTTTGTGCTTCAATCATTGGAGTGAGTTGCTTTACTACTAGATGGCACAGAAAATAGGGAGATGCAGAAACAGGCATCAATCATAAATGTAATGTAGGAAATAATCGATTTTATATTTTAGTCATATTTGCCAGTGTTACTTAGATAACAAAAGTTTCGGGATGCAAGGAAAGAAAAAAGGTAAACAAATTACAATAAAATTAAAACATAGTGGACCTGAATACAGTATGAATTAAACACTAAATTTCTAAAATGCTTAGTGGGAAAAACTAGATGCTAAAGAGAGAGAGTAAATGATGACTAAAATTATTATTAAAGAAGGAGTCAACCTATTCTCCAAAGCACTGAAGGCAGGACAAGAAACAATGGATGGAAACTAATCAAGGAGAGAAACAACCTAGAACTAAGGAGAAATTTCCTGATAGAACAATTAATCAGTGGAACGACTTGCCTTCAGAACTTATAAATGCTCCATCACTGGAAGTTTTTAAGAAGAGACTGGACAACCATTTGCATGAAATGGTACAGAGTTTCCTGCCTGAACAGGGGATTGGACTAGAAGACCTCAAAAGTCCCTTCCAATTTTGTTATTTAAAAAGAATCAGAAACCTTCTTTCTGTTGACATTAAGAATTTCAGAGAGAAGGATACTGAACTACAAGAATAAATGAGCTATGATGAGAGGGCTCAGAAGCTCCACCTCTGGGCTGCAGTAATTTGGGACAACCAGGAAAAAGGGGTGACCACACAGCCATTTCTGCCAGCAGCAGGCCTGAGTTTCCAAGGGTATCATCTCAAAGTGCTCCTTTCCACATAATCTCATATTCCATTGCCTGCCTCCCAAAACCTGTGTTGTGTCAAGCCATGTATTTCACCAGCCAGATATTGTAGTCCTACCCCACAGGGCCAGAATTGTTGACTACTAGTTTACACAACAAAGAGTCAGCACAGGGAGCCTTGTGTGCTTGCAGGCCCTCAAGTATTTTATTTCCTTACCTTCGCCTTATTTAGGTTGTGGTCTGTATTGCAGATGGGATTCTTATCTACTGTACTATATTTAAGGAAATTCTACCATAATTTATCACAGTAAGTCCCCATCTCAGTAGACAGCAGGCTTATATCTATGATAAGTTCCAAATATTTTGCCAAATATGATGATAGAATCACAGCTGGAATATACTGTAACTGGTTCCCCTGCTGTGGAAGGACAAGTAGTTTCTGAATTCTTTTCTGTGTTCTGAGCAGCATACAAAATAGCTTTCTGTTTAACCAAGGCAATGTTTCTCAACTTCAGCAACTTTAAAATGTGTGGTGTTTAACTTCAAATCCACACATCTTAAAGTTGTGGAGGTAGAGAAACACTGATCCAAGGAATGAAGATGATGGTAACAGAATAAGAGAGTTGGAAGGGACCTTGGAAGTCTTTTAGTCAACGTCTTGCTCAAGCAGAAAAGCCTATACCATTTCAGACAAATAACTGTCCAGTCTTTTCTTAAAAGTCTCCAGTAAAGGATCACCTACAACTTCTGAAGACAAGTTGTTCCACTAATTAACTGTTCTCACTGTTAAGAAATTTCTCCTTAGTTCTGGGATAGTTCTCTCCTTGATTAGTTTACATCCATTGTTGTCTTGACTTCTGGTGCTTTGGAAAATTAGAAAATAGCTTGACCCCCTTTTCTTTGTGGCAGCCCTTCAAATATTGGAACACTGCTATCATGTCACCCCTAGTCCTTCTCTTCGTTAAACTAGACTATACCCATTTCCTACAATCATAAGTTTTACTTCCAGGCCCCTAATAATCTTTGTTGCTCTTCTCTGCACTCTGTCAAGAGTCTCAATTCTTTTTCAATAATTTTATTATTATTGTTGAATATTTTATTAGAGTTTTCAATATAGTAAAAGATTAAACATAAAAGAAAAATTAGAAAAAAAGATTAAAAATAAGAGAAAAGAAAGAAAACAGAAATGTCTTCTATCCTTCTTTCTATTGAGTAATTTCCTTCTTTCACTTTTCCCTTCTTTCGTAACTCTTTTAATCCCCAATTCATAAATCATAAAATGATGATGATACCATCCTTACATCATTTTTCTTGCTATTGTACCTCTGTCCATTGATGATTTGATGATTCATGGAGTTTTATTCACTCTTGTTCAATTTACTAATATTTATATAGGAATACTATTCATTGCATCCTTCCCTAAGTGCAGTATTCACATGCTCTTATATCTAAGAGGAAGCAGTTGACATTTAATTGATACCTTTAATTTTCCTTATACTTTCTCCCAAGAAATGTAAGTATTAAAATCAATGAAAGCAACATTAAGTCTAGTCTAGTTTAATGAAGAGAAGGATGAGGAGTGACATGATAGCAGTGTTCCAATATCTCAGGGACTGCCACAAAGAAGAGGGAGTCAAGCTATTCTCCAAAGCACCTGAAGGCAGGACAAGAAGCAATGGATGGAAACTAACCAAGGAGAGAAGCAACCTAGAACTAAGGAGAAATTTCTTGACAGTTAGAACAATTAATCAGTGGAACAACCTGCCTCCAGAAGCAGTGAATGCTCCAACACTAGAAGTTTTTAACAAGAGACTGGACAGCCATTTGTTTGAAATGGTATAGGGTTTCCTACCCGAGCACGTGGTTGGACTAGATGACCTCCAAGGTACCTTCCAACTTTATTATCTATTATCTATTATCTATTACCTATTATTATTATTATTATTATTATTATTATTATTATTATTAGTAGTAGTAGTAGTAGTAATAGTATTAGCAGTATTAGTAGTATTAGTAGTACAAACCACACTTTATTGTATACTTCTCTACTTAGTGGCTCAGCAGGATCTTTTGACATATTTTGTGTCTTTTCTCTCCAAAGCCCTTCTTTCATCAGTGAGAATAGTCTCCATGAGAAACAAGCCTGTCACCTTTTAGTATAAATGCCTATTGTAAATCTTACTAACAATATTTACCAGTTTGTTATGTTAATAACTAGCTGACAGCTATTAATTCCCAGTGTTTGAAGACCCTGTCAATATAAGTACCTAAATAAAATAAAAATGGAAGGTTTAGGAAGAGGAAGGTTGCTGGCTTCCTATATTGCTACCGTAGTAGAATTAGTGGTTGGAGCCGGCTGATTGGAGGGAGCTGTTAGAAAGTTCACAGATCTCCTTTTATTGGTGTCATTGGTTTTTGGCATTGCTGGTTTGTTAGGTGGTTGTTTGAATAGAGTTGATGGGGGAAACTGGGTAAGAACATAGATTGTTAATATGACTGCAGGAGGCTGATTTCCATGAAAATTAAAAATGGAAAGTAAAATCATAGGTTGGTCCTTGCTGTTATAGAAGGAAAACGTAATTTGAGCAGATCCTTCTGGGTAAGACTCCACCAGTTTAATTGAGAAAATGTTCTGTTTCAAAGCAGATGCTTTTGCTTCCAAAAAGAAGAGTGCACAGTCATGGAATACCAAATCACAGTTTAGCATGATGTTCAAAAACGCATTGATTTAAGAACAAGTTATCTTTATCACTGAAATTGCATTAAAGTTCTAAACTTTGCTTGGAATATAATTCTATTTGTTGATTTAATGTTGAGTGGACTTTAGTCTTACCTGTGTTCTATGAGTTAATAACTACTAATAAATAGTAAAAAAATTTGTAAATGACTGGTAATAGGTATTCAATATAAATCTATATTTATTTGATTTCTTTTTAGGGGGATCAGATATTGAATATTTTGACTTTTACAAACCAGTTGTGTGGTTCTGGATTCTAGTGGGTCTTGCATATTTTGCTGCTGTGTTGAGCATGATTGGTGATTGGCTAAGAGTTATATCCAAAAAGACCAAGGAAGAGGTAAGGACATTCCAAGAAATTTGCAAAAAAAATTATTAATACTGTAACATTTTAATGAGTTTTGCTCCTTGCTATTCTCATAAATAACCTAGTTTGGACATTTATGTGTCATAAGTATTATTTGTATCAGGATTCATTATTATTATTGATTCAGTTTTTACCATCACTCCAATCCAACATATAATGAATATCTTACCAGTAGATTAAACAAAAATACCAAAATTAAAAAAAAACTGAAAATCCATAAAATCCAAACAAAGAGATAATGACCCAAATGATGTTTGGAAGTGTTGGATGTTTAACATCTTCTGGAAGGTGTCCAAGATAAGCATGTATCTAACCTCAGCCAGAGATCATTCTGGCACTGCCACTGAAAAACAACATTTCCCATTGTGTGACCTCCCTCCAATCCTGCAAAAGTTAGGAACAATCATCTGTTTCTTCTGCCACAATTGTAATAGACTGACTTCTGTAGGAAGATGCTGGTGAACATCTGAGTTGCTGCATTTTGTTCCAAATAATTATTAGATTGTTTTTAAATATGGCCCTATAGAGTACCATGATGGCAATGATAAGGGCACATGTTACAAGGTCCTCCTGTCCCAGGAAAGACCACAACTATCTCGTCAATCAAACCTGCATTTAATCACTCTCATCCATCTCTGCATGGTCTTTAGCTACTGTTCTAGCAGGAATTATGAGTCCAAGAGAACTTAAAGCCATGGACCTGCTTCTTCATGGACAGTGCCTCCATCTCCAGAATAATTTCTAGATGTACAAGAAAATCCTAATGTACAAGTGGCAACTCATTTTACGTTTCAATATTACCCTGTTCTCTCCCATCTAGACCTTAAAATCTCCAAGCACTGAAATGGGATTTTGGCACCCTCCTCAGAGTAGTCTGGGATCATTTTGAATAGCTAAATAATATCTTTCAGTGGCTTTATATAGTAACAGGGAGAAAACTGATTCCTGAAGTATAGTACAAAGGAGGAGCCACTAAGTTGATTTCTCCTCCTCTGTCACTACTGACTGGAACCATCTACCAAGATAGGAGTAGAACTACTATTCCCAATCTCTAACCACCACAGACAGTCCAGGAGGATACCATGGTTGAGGAGAAGTTGTACCAGACCAAGATAGACATACCAACTGTGTCCAAGTCATGCCAAATATTATCAACCAGAGCAACCAGTGATGTTTAGTATGGATCCAGATAATCTTTATCCCCAGAGTGATCTGTAGTTGATTCTGAACCATCTTCATTAAAAAAAAAAAAAGACCAGGTACTGATCAATAGTTCCCCTTTAAAGAAGACATACAGTGTGGCTGCTTTTAAGGACACCAGTTTCATCCCCTGGTCAAGGGATAATTAATAATCCCTTGGATCTAGGAAACCACTTCCTCCAGCTCCCCAAAGAAGCCAGGAAATGCAAAGATCCAGCCAGCAGGTAACTGAGGGTATCCTAGAGAGTACCATTTATTCAGAGGAACCAGCCAAAAATAATCTTAGAGAAAAAAATCCCAGTCATCACACCAGACCTTGCCCATGTGAAATCCGGATAGAAGTGAATCTGAGTGGCTACTACAGAAAAGAACATAAACCTTTTTTTGGCCATTGACCAATGAAAATGCACTCTGTAAAATAAACAAGGCAAAATTATCCTCTAAGATCAATACCATTTGTGGGTGAAGCATACGCATAATGTTACAAAATGTTGCTATTTTTAGAGAAATAAATGTAGTTAGGTTTACTTAACAGCAAATGCAAATAAAAGTTATCAGCATGCCCAAGAAATTTAAATAAAAGAGGGTAATCAATGTCCCTGTAGAGCTGACAATACAAAAAAATATGGGCTGTACAGCAACAAGTCACGGGCAATTTATTTATTTATTAAACCAATTTATATAGCCACCCATCTCACAAATAAGCAACTCTGAATGGCATAAATTAACAAATTTGTTAACAAATACATTAAAACGTATAAAAATTAAACCAAAACAAAGTATGATAGATATGAAGGAATGTTAAAAATAGCAGAACCATCTCACTAATCCACTTGTCCCCTGGGGTCCCTACTGGGGTTTCATGTGGGGTTTTCCTATATATCCCTTCCAAAGTAGCTGTGGGGAGCATTAAATTGGGCTAGTTCTGTTCTGTACAGAACATGTTACTTCAGTACAGATGAATTATTTTAGTAGCTCATCAGACAAGTTGTGCACCATTGGTGAAGGACTCAGTCTCAAAATAATCTCCATTCATTTGTCCTTTTTTCTATCTTCCTGCCTGGCATGGTCCCATAGCCTGTGAATTAAATTATGCAGTTATTTTAAAAACCTATTTTCTACACTTTCTAATATAAAACTTTGGGGGTCTGCCAACAACCTCTATAGGGGATTATTTTATTCATTTTTATTTACTTTATTTGTACCCACCTTTAGTATTTCTATGAATAACTCAAGGTAGCAAACATATCCAATACATCTTCCTCCTCCTATTTTCTGCACAACAACAACAACATGGTGAGAGGGCTGGATTGAGACAGAGTGACTGGCTCAGTCACTCAGCTGGGTTTCATTTGAGGCTTTCATCATGCTGACAGTTGCTGCTGAGGTCTAATATTTTATCTTTGTCTGTATAAGTATTTTTTATCTGCATAAATACCTTGATCACATTTGGAACTCTCTCTTAGCTGATCAGTGAGCTCTGCCCCCTCCAGTAGTATTACATGTGCATAGCAATTGTAAATTTGAAGTCCTTGACCTGTGATAATCAAAAGCTTTAAAATTTGATCATGAGAATGGCCTGGCAAGAATGTGCTGTGAATGACAAAATCATCTTCTCTGCACCACTAGCTATTACTTCTGGATCAGGGAGTTTCACATAACAAATGAATTCCTCAAAATCTTTGGTTGCCACTTATTTAGCGTATATTGGGTAAGCAAATTATCAAAGCTTATGTTTTAAATATCAGAAGCACTCTAATGCTTCATTTTCTTGAAAATTTGTTTTGTTTGCAATCCACATACTTCATTTTGTACTTCATTTTGTAACATTGTGAACTAATTAGCCTCAAGAATGGGTTCAACTGAAAGACAGCCACTAAATTAGATCTAGTTCTAATTCATGTTAGTTATATATTTTTAAGTACCGGCCTGGGTGGTATTTGACTGAACCTTCTACACTTCTAGATATAGAGAGCATGTGATAGGCATCAGTATTGCATTATAGCTAAATCATATTAAATATTATTTGAATAAATAACTAAAATAAGCAACTGTACAGGTAGAAATAAGACATTCCAAAAACATTGCCATTTCTGTGAAGTTTGCAGCTTGTTTTTGCTTTATTTATTGAGGAACATGTAAATATATCAATTGTAAAATCATGGTTGATATGACTTTGACTCACAAATCAGTACTTTGATTAATTGTGAAAGAGATTATAGTTTCAGATGACAATTATAGAGTTAGTGGTTGACAGTAGTTTCTCCCTTTCTCTCTCTCTCAGCAGGTAACTTAGACAATAATTGTACTATGCTTGAATAAGAGAAATGCTCTCCCGAGATACTATTTTGCCAGTGGATATGTTTTGCAGGTTATTTTAAGAAAAATCAAAACAAATTTTCAGTCTTATAATAAAATAGTCATGCTGACACATACCCCATTTGGATTACAGTATTATAACAACAACAACAACAACAATAATAATAAAAGTTGGAAGGGACTTTGGAGGTCATCTAGTCCAACCCTCTGCTCAGGCAGGAAACCCTATACCATTTTGGACAAATGGCTGTCCAGTCTCTTCTTAAAAACTTCTAGTCTTGGAGCATTCACCACTTCTGGAGGCAGGTTGTTCCACTGGTTAATTGTTCTAACTGTCAGGAAGTTGCTCCTTAATTCTAGGTTTGCTTCTCTCTTTGGTTAGTTTCCATCTGTTGCTTCTTATCCTGCCTTCAGGTGCTTTGGAAAATAGCTTGACTCCTTCTTCTTTGTGGCAGCCCCTGAGATATTGGAATACTGCTATCTTGACCCCCCTCGTCCTTCTGTTCGTTAAACTAGACATACCCAATTCCAGCAACCATTTCTTATATGTTTTAGCCTCCAGTCCCCTAATCATCTTTGTTGCTCTTCTCTGTACACTTTCTAGAGTCTCAGCATCTTTTTTACATCGTGGTGATCAAAACTGGATGAAGTATTCCAAGTGTGGCCTTACCAAGGCATTGTAAATTGATATTAATACTTCATGTGATCTTGATTCTATCCCTCTGTTAATGCAACCTAACACTGTGTTGGCTTTTTTGGTAGCTGCAGCACACTGCTGGTTCATATTTATATGGATTTATATGGATTTTTATGGATCTATCTTTCAAAATTGTTCAGAAATTTCAATGGGTCCAGAATGTCCTAGCCAAATTATTGACTAGTTGCAGCAAATGCATGACTCCATTCATTGCCTATCTTTCCTTTGCAAAATTCAAAGTGTTATTATAATGTGTAAAGATCTATATGGTTTGAAATTAGGCTATCTAAAAGATGATATTCTTCCTTATGACCTGTCCAGACTTTAAGATGCTGAAAAGATCTTTTTATTTGATTATCACCATCAAAGATATATCCAGAGGCAATGCAAGACTGCGCCTACTCATTTACGTTTTCTAGACTTTGGAACTTTCTGTCAAGAGAGATCAAGTTTTTTTTGTCGTCCTATTAGCAGGGAGAAGTGGGTTTTTTAAAAAAATCTAGAGTAGTCTTTGGTGTAGATGCTTGGATTGGTGGTGAGAGGTTACCACTTGTTTTACTGATGGAATTTTTATTTGCTTTAATGGTGTTCTGTTATTTTTTACTGCTTCTCTTTGATATCTTTGCTTTTTATTATCATAGGCAGTGCAGATATGAATCCCTATAATCAATGAGAATTTTTCAGTTGATTTAATAGAACAGTGCCTCCCAATCTTTTGGCCACCAGGGACTGTTCCATGGAGAAACGTTTTTCCGCG